TATAAATAGGGTGCTTTAGGAGGAATGATCAGGATTCTAGGATATGATTGTACACATCATTTTAAGCAAAGAAGTTTAGATAAACATGTTTAATAATTGTTCTATTCCGGTCATAAAAATATACAAAAATGAATGATATAATCTCTAAAAACTCACCTTTAAAAAAAGGTAAAAAAAGGCGACCAGTTAAGGGCACGCCATTAACAAAAATTATCCATTGCAAACCCATGTAGAATCCTATCCTATTGCAAACCCATGTAGAATCCTATAAAAAATTAATCATTGCAAACCCATGTAGAATCCTAGGCAAAATTAACCATTGCAAACTCATGTAGAATTGTATTAAAAATGATCCATTGCAAACTTATGTAGAATCCTACATTGCAAACCCATGTACAATAGAATTGTATGAAAAATTATCGATTATAAATTCATGTACAATCGTAACAAAAGTAATGAAATAAAAAAAAAATTGCGCCAAGTGAAAGTAGAAACTTGTACCAGTGGAAAATTAAAGTTGCAGACATATATAGAGTCGTATAATGAATCAGTAAAAATTTAAATTTGCAAATGTAGAATCGTACCATAAAAAAACTTATCTTTTAAAAAAAAAGATAAACAAGATGCCAAGTCCATGCGCCATGTAAAAAAGAAATAAAAAAATTTTAGTTAAAAAAACTGGGCGCGCTGCTAAGTTTCAAAATTACAATGCACCTTAAAGTAACATTAATTAATTTAAACACAAAACATATTTTAACTGTAATGAGTTTAAAAGTAACAATTTAATTTTAATATTGTTAGAATATTATTTAGCAGCGCTCCCAGTTTTTTTAACTAAAATTTTTTTATTTCTTTTTTACATGGCGCATGGACTTGGCATCTTGTTTATCTTTTTTTTTAAAAGATAAGTTTTTTTATGGTACGATTCTACATTTGCAAATTTAAATTTTTACTGATTCATTATACGACTCTATATATGTCTGCAACTTTAATTTTCCACTGGTACAAGTTTCTACTTTCACTTGGCGCAATTTTTTTTTTATTTCATTACTTTTGTTACGATTGTACATGAATTTATAATCGATAATTTTTCATACAATTCTATTGTACATGGGTTTGCAATGTAGGATTCTACATAAGTTTGCAATGGATCATTTTTAATACAATTCTACATGAGTTTGCAATGGTTAATTTTGCCTAGGATTCTACATGGGTTTGCAATGATTAATTTTTTATAGGATTCTACATGGGTTTGCAATAGGATAGGATTCTACATGGGTTTCCAATGGATAATTTTTGTTAATGGCGTGCCCTTAACTGGTCGCCTTTTTTTACCTTTTTTTAAAGGTGAGTTTTTAGAGATTATATTAATTAACCTCGAACTTACATATGGAGAAATAGGCGCGAAAAATATAGATCTAAAAAGTCGCTGAAGCGGGAATCGAACCCGCGTCTTTCACTTTCCGGGCGACTGCTCTTACCACTAATAGCTATTTAGACTTTTCGGACCTATATTTTTCGCGCCTATTTCTCCATATGTAAGTTCGAGGTTAATTAATATGAAACTTTAGTAATCTCTTTAACGTATAAGACGGGCAACAAGAGCCAAATCGCGGATGACAATGCGTTGTTCTAACGAAACTAAATAATTTTTCGTTAGAATTAAATACCGGTGCACAAGGCACCAAATTTTAACTTGGACACGGCCAAGATTTTAAATATGAAATAATCTCATATTTTGAGATTTAATTTCAATACCCCTTTAACCCCCCTACGGAAAATAAATAAATGAATGCAAGAGAAAAATATAGATCCGAAAATCGCTGAATCGGGAATCGAACCCGAGACCTTTCGCTTGCCGGGCGACTGCTCTTCCAGCTGAGCTATTCAGATCCTTTCGATTCTATACTTTTCTCTGTTATATATATTAATGTTGGTAAACAAACGCATTTTTTAAGCCAGCGTGTATCAAATATAAGAGTTTTAACAAGGCTCTGTAATATAAATATAAATTTAACGTATAAGACGGGCAACAAGAGCCAAATCGCGGATGACAATGCGTTGTTCTAACGAAACTAAATAATTTTTCGTTAGAATTAAATACCGGTGCACAAGGCACCAAATTTTAACTTGGACACGGCCAAGATTTTAAATATGAAATAATCTCATATTTTGAGATTTAATTTCAATACCCCTTTAACCCCCCTACGGAAAATAAATAAATGAATGCAAGAGAAAAATATAGATCCGAAAATCGCTGAATCGGGAATCGAACCCGAGACCTTTCGCTTGCCGGGCGACTGCTCTTCCAGCTGAGCTATTCAGATCCTTTCGATTCTATACTTTTCTCTGTTATATATATTAATGTTGGTAAACAAACGCATTTTTTAAGCCAGCGTGTATCAAATATAAGAGTTTTAACAAGGCTCTGTAATATAAATATAAATTTAACGTATAAGACGGGCAACAAGAGCCAAATCGCGGATGACAATGCGTTGTTCTAACGAAACTAAATAATTTTTCGTTAGAATTAAATACCGGTGCACAAGGCACCAACTTTTCCACCAACACCAATTTTTCTAACGAAAAATTATTTAGTTTCGTTAGAACAACGCATTGTCATCCGCGATTTGGCTCTTGTTGCCCGTCTTATACGTTAAATTTATATTTATATTACAGAGCCTTGTTAAAACTCTTATATTTGATACACGCTGGCTTAAAAATGCGTTTGTTTACCAACATTAATATATATAACAGAGAAAAGTATAGAATCGAAAGGATCTGAATAGCTCAGCTGGAAGAGCAGTCGCCCGGCAAGCGAAAGGTCTCGGGTTCGATTCCCGATTCAGCGATTTTCGGATCTATATTTTTCTCTTGCATTCATTTATTTATTTTCCGTAGGGGGGTTAAAGGGGTATTGAAATTAAATCTCAAAATATGAGATTATTTCATATTTAAAATCTTGGCCGTGTCCAAGTTAAAATTTGGTGCCTTGTGCACCGGTATTTAATTCTAACGAAAAATTATTTAGTTTCGTTAGAACAACGCATTGTCATCCGCGATTTGGCTCTTGTTGCCCGTCTTATACGTTAAATTTATATTTATATTACAGAGCCTTGTTAAAACTCTTATATTTGATACACGCTGGCTTAAAAAATGCGTTTGTTTACCAACATTAATATATATAACAGAGAAAAGTATAGAATCGAAAGGATCTGAATAGCTCAGCTGGAAGAGCAGTCGCCCGGCAAGCGAAAGGTCTCGGGTTCGATTCCCGATTCAGCGATTTTCGGATCTATATTTTTCTCTTGCATTCATTTATTTATTTTCCGTAGGGGGGTTAAAGGGGTATTGAAATTAAATCTCAAAATATGAGATTATTTCATATTTAAAATCTTGGCCGTGTCCAAGTTAAAATTTGGTGCCTTGTGCACCGGTATTTAATTCTAACGAAAAATTATTTAGTTTCGTTAGAACAACGCATTGTCATCCGCGATTTGGCTCTTGTTGCCCGTCTTATACGTTAAATTTATATTTATATTACAGAGCCTTGTTAAAACTCTTATATTTAGTAATCTCGTACCAAGATATACAGTTCCGAATAATTAATTTTTGTAATTTTTCGTGCTATATGGCTTTTAGGTCGATTTAGAAACCATCATATTTATATTGTTTATATTGAGAGCCGATAAAAAATATTTATTTCTGAGTTTATTCACGCCTGGCCTAATCACGGCGTTATTTACTAACATCTACTAAAAAGGCAAATGAAAAATATAGGATCGAAAGAGTCTGAATAGCTTAGTGGTAAGAGTAGTCGCCCGGAAAGTGAAAGACGCGGGTTCGATTCCCGCTTCAGCGACTTTTCGGACCTATATTTTTTGCGCCTATTTCTCCATATGTAAGTTCAAGGTTAATTAATATATGGAACTTTAGTAATCTCGTACCAAGAGATACAGTTCCGAATAATTAATTTTCGTAATTTTTCGTGCTATGGCTCTTAGGCCGATTTAGAAACCATCATATTTATATTAAATATGAATTATTATTTGAATAAATATAATAAAATTTTTAAATAGGTTGAAGGTTCTGACATATGACGTGTGCACATAACATTTTTAGACATTGATGACGGTAGGATTGAAATGTTGCTGAATGTAGACTTCTCAGATTTTTCCAAACTTACTGGGGACGAAGTAGCTTGATAGCTAGGAATGACTGTAACAGAATTGCATCTTTATACAAAGCACATTTTTTTAAACAGATTACTTTAAATTTATATTCTTGATAAAAGTGCATTTTTAAGTTAATTGGATCGTAAATATAAATTAACAGACTTCATAATTTTATTGTATTACTTACCTTGCATTACTTTTAGTTTTGTAGGATCTATTTGGAGGAGTTATTCTCCACCTTCTTTGTTCTGAACTTTTATAACATAACTCATAATTGAAATAATTTTCAGGCAACGTTTCCAAGTTCAATTGGCTTAACAATGGAGAAGACTACATTCGTTTACGCAGTAGTCCGCAGTACTGCGAGCAAAGCATCCTAAGCAGGACCTCCGAGATGGCTGCGCAGATAGGCAGCAGCTCTGCTTAAACGAACAACAAACTGCGCTGCAGTCGGTTGCGCAGGTGGAGTAAACGAACGACATTTGCGGCATTCTGCGGCAGTCACTGCATAAACGAATGCACCCATAGCGTTTTCGAGTGAAGCAGTTTTTGAGCGATCCGGGGTCGATTAATGACGTCATTAACCAATCACAGCCATTTCTCTGAAGAATAAATAGCTGTGATTGGTCAATGACGTCATTAATCGACCCCGAATCGCTCAAAAACTGCTTCACTCGAAAACGCTATGGGTGCATTCGTTTATGCAGTGACTGCCGCAGAATGCCGTAGATGTCGTTCGTTTACTCCACCTGCGCAACCGACTGCAGCGCAGTTTGTTGTTCGTTTAAACAAAGCTGCTGCCTATCTGCGCAGCCATCTCGGAGGTCCTGCTCAGGATGCTTTGCTCGCGAAAGCGGAAATTTCACGGCAATCGTTTTGCAAGTGTTTCATCGGACGACGGAGACTTAGACACGAGCCGCAGTAAGCAGAAGTTAACGATAGCAAGCTGCGATGACGTCATTATTCATTCTGCGCACTGCTACCGCATTATTGAATTTATATCTGTGTTTCTCGCCATTTCGGAAATCGCAATTTGCCGATCGTGCAAGCAAAAACTAACGTTTCAAGAAAGCGGGCATCGAGGCCTAGGATTTAAAATTATTAAAAAACCATTCCTCAACGTTTAAAGTCGACCAGACTGGCGATAATTTATTATAAATAATTATTTGAAATACAACGTTTCGGCTGTCATTGCAGCCCTTTTCAAGTACATCTATAAAAAGTTCAATCAAAATAATTATAATTTAATACACTTATTCGCAACAAATAATTATACATTTAAAAACAAAAATGTGTTACATACCAAATTTAAAACAGTAAATCAACTTCTATGCAAACAACCGACAATGTTAACGCTTGTTTTGATGAACAATGCAAGACTGACAGAAGTAAGCACATAATAAATAGATGTTAACTGTTCGCAAGAATCTTAGTCACTAAGCGTTAAGAAAATAGAGACGAAACTAAATGTGTCTTTCGTAATTTAAATCGTCATAATAAAGTCAAATAAATAAAAATAAATAAATAGGTGGATATAAAAATAAAAATAAAAGTAAAAATAAAAACGACTTAAATAACGTCAAGAACACGATCGTAAATCCCACTAAAATTCTCCGTATCTTTCTGTAAATTAATACTTTTTCCTTGTTTTTTTATGTAAAACATTTCTGCAATTTCTCTTTTTCTTGTTTGTTTTTCTTCATGCAGAATCACCGGAGAATCCCAACGGAACTCATGATCGTTGCAAGTCCGATGCAAACTAACGACAGAATGCAATGTCTTGTCTTTTTTTATGTTATTTCTATGTTCTTTAATGCGCGTTTCTAAATGTCTCTTTGTCTGTCCAATATAAGCCGAATCGCAATTCGCACATTCAATTTTATAAACCACATCAGTTCTTTTTAAGTTTTCGATCCCATCTTTACCTCTTTTTATCAATGTGTCCAATTTTTTTGGGACAGTATATAAAGCATCAATTCCACTTTTATTAATGCAACGCGTAATATTCTCGCTCAGATCTTTAATATAAGGTAACACAATGCAATTTTGCGTATCAAATTTATTTCGATTGGGCGAGTTAAGATTACCGCCAAATTTAATCGCTCGAAGTCTTTTATTAATGTTTTTGTTTATAAAGAGGTAAAGATGGGATCGAAAACTTAAAAAGAACTGATGTGGTTTATAAAATTGAATGTGCGAATTGCGATTCGGCTTATATTGGACAGACAAAGAGATATTTAGAAACGGGCATTAAAGAACATAGAAATAACATAAAAAAAGACAAGACATTGCATTCTGTCGTTAGTTTGCATCGGACTTGCAACGATCATGAGTTCCGTTGGGATTCTCCGGTGATTCTGCATGAAGAAAAACAAACAAGAAAAAGAGAAATTGCAGAAATGTTTTACATAAAAAAACAAGGAAAAAGTATTAATTTACAGAAAGATACGGAGAATTTTAGTGGGATTTACGATCGTGTTCTTGACGTTATTTAAGTCGTTTTTATTTTTACTTTTATTTTTATTTTTATATCCACCTATTTATTTATTTTTATTTATTTGACTTTATTATGACGATTTAAATTACGAAAGACACATTTAGTTTCGTCTCTATTTTCTTAACGCTTAGTGACTAAGATTCTTGCGAACAGTTAACATCTATTTATTATGTGCTTACTTCTGTCAGTCTTGCATTGTTTATCAAAACAAGCGTTAACATTGTCGGTTGTTTGCATAGAAGTTGATTTACTGTTTTAAATTTGGTATGTAACACATTTTTGTTTTTAAATGTATAATTATTTGTTGCGAATAAGTGTATTAAATTATAATTATTTTGATTGAACTTTTTATAGATGTACTTGAAAAGGGCTGCAATGACAGCCGAAACGTTGTATTTCAAATAATTATTTATAATAAATTATCGCCAGTCTGGTCGACTTTAAACGTTGAGGAGTGGTTTTTTATTAATTATTACTGGCAACCTTAAGGATTATTATTTATTTAAAATTATTGTCCAGTGTATGTGTGGTCGACGCGAAATCCAGTCAGGACCATTGATAAATACCGGCTACGAAATCAACAGACGAATTGTTTTTGTTATGAGGCTTCTTGGTATCGCACGAGAAGGGATAAACGTATTCTGCGGCCTTATGGATATTTCTGCAGGTTTAGCAAAATCTACTTACCAAAATATCGTTGAGCATTTGTACGCAGCGTCGAAGACAATGTTTGAGAGCACCTGCGAAAAAGCCGTCAAGGAAGAAAAAGAAAGAAACGTTGAACATGAAAGACCTGCGAATCATTTGAAGGTTTCGGGCGATGGATCGTGGAAAAAGCGCGGTTATACTTCCTTGTACGGTGTAACAACGCTCATCGGATACTACAGTGGCAAAGTAATCGATCTCATTGTAAAAAGTGGATATTGTCATTCGTGTGCCATGAGTAAAAATACTTTGGACGAAGACGCATTTGAGGAGTGGTATGAGAATCATAAAGACTCATGCTCCTCAAATCATGCAGGTTCGGCAGGGAAGATGGAGGTGGATTCCATAATGGAGATATTTTCCAGATCCGTCGAGAAATTCGGAGTTATGTATACTAATTATATCGGCGATGGCGACTCGAAAACTTCTACTAGTATCTTAAATAGCAATCCTTACGGGGACGAGTGCACAGTGACTAAAAATGAGTGTGTTGGACACGTGCAAAAGCGCATGTGTACTCGTTTACGAAATAAAAGAAAAACCGAGAAACTCGGAGGAAAGAAGCGGCTAACGGAGAGCGTAATCAAGAAATTGACAATATACTACGGTCTGGCAATTCGCCGAAATATTGATTCAGTGGAAGGCATGAAGAAAGCTATTATAGCGACATTAGATCACTACTGTTCCACGGATAAAAATCCTCAGCATGAAAATTGTCCAGAAGGCGCCGAGAGTTGGTGTGAATGGCGCAAGGCTCAAGCGGCGAATAGTCTTGCATCTTATAAACATCCGACGAGATTAATCGATGAAACCGTGGAGAACCACATTCGTCCGATTTACGAAGAGCTCTCTAATGACGATTTAATGACGCGGTGCTTAGGCGGCCACACTCAAAATTCCAACGAATCGTTCAATTCGCTTGTGTGGCGCCTAAGTCCGAAACATCTGAATTCCGGCCATAAAATCGTCGAAATTGCAGCATATATAGCTGCAGGCATTTTCAACGAGGGCTACTTTGCTGTACTCTCCACTATGCAGCTGCTTGATATCATCATCGGTCAGCGATGCAAAAATTTTGCTGACGCCGTCGATGCCGAGCGCATAACGCGGGAGAACCGGCGCGCATCAGTTTCTACCAAGGAGACTCGTACAGCCCGAAGATTGGAAACCCTGAATCAGAACGAGTTTTTTGAAGAAGAGGAAGGACTACTGTATGGCCCAGGGATAGCTGAGTAACCTCTAATTACTGTAAGTACCCAAAAACTTATATTTTTTGGGACCGAAAACTTTAAAGCGCGTTTTCTCGAGTTTTCATTTTTACGATTTGTAGAAAACGGTGCCGGCGATAGCAAAAAGAATATACGTCCGATCGAAAAAAATCAAAGTGATCTAGCTTCAGTATTAAATTATCTTCTATTTGAACTAAAAAAGTTGGACAAAAGTATTATTTAAACTACTTTTTTTGCAACTTAAAGTGAATTTTTTTTTTCAAAAAAGTGAATTTTTTCTTTAAACTTCGAAAAAATTTGGAATTTGACAACTTCTTTGGTATTTTCTTAGTTCATATAGAAAAGAAACTTATAAAAATTAAAAAAAATTTTGTCTCGACTGTTTCAGACGCACCGCACGACCTCCATCACCGGCACCGATTAGCAAGTGCAGACTCCAGGCGCTCGGGCAAAATTATCATAACTTGAGGAATTTTAATATCTTTTTAATAACAAAAATTGTTTTTTAAAGCTAAAATACAGTACAATATGTTCTCAAACTTACGCTTACAGTAATCATTTCCTTCCCTTTCAAAAAATTGCTGAAAAAACGCTTTTTCTTGGGCTCCTAAATCAGACTCCCCCTTAAAGTAATCTGTTTAAAAAAAAATGTGCTTTGTATAAAGATGCAATTCTGTTACAGTCATTCCTAGCTATCAAGCTACTTCGTCCCCAGTTAGTTTGGAAAAATCTGAGAAGTCTACATTCAGTAACATTTCAATCCTACCGTCATCACTGTCTGAAAATGTTATATGTGCACACGTCATATGTCAGAACCTTCAGCCTATTTAAAAATTTTATTATATTTATTCAAATAATAATTCATATTTATTTAAAATTTCTTTATTTACGCACTCCAATTACAATCTGAGCAGTCAATTCACGCAGGTGATCGTTCGATAAATGATGTCACGTGACTCGCAGATAATAGACGCAGTGGATGCGCTAATCGCTGCATAAACGAATGCACCCTAAAGCGGGGAGCACACACTCTTGCATAAGCGCATAAGCATATGCATAAGAAATTCGATTGGTTGAATTTCTTGTGCATACGTTTATAGACCAATCAAGATTCTTATGCTTACGCTTATGCGCTTATGCAAAAGTGTGTGCTCCCCGCTTATATGTCGTATGTCGCAGTCGGATGTCGGAACGTAAGCGATGGTCCAATGAGAACATTTCTTTTTGGAAAACAAAATTTCTTCATTGGACCATTGCTTACGTTCCAACATCCCACTGCGACATACGACTTATTATTGTAGACCAGGCCTTAGAGTTTACTATATCTATTGTAGATCCGGCCTTACAGTCGAGTTATTTTCTTCGTACTTGACTGTGATTGGTCAATTTTTCAAGTTTAGGACTTAAATAATTTATTGTCAACTCGACCTTAAGGCCGGATCTACAACAGATGTAGTAAACTCTAAGCTTTAAAAAATTCACTAATCACAGTCAAGAATGAGGGGAGTAATTGACTGTGATTGATCAATTTCTTAAGGCTTAGAGCTTACTACATCTATTGTAGATCCGGCCTAAGGCTTCAATCATTTATTATGGATCCGGTCTTAAGCTTACTTAAATCATCTGTTGTGAACTTGGCCTTAAGAAATTGACTAATTACAATCAAGTATGAGGAAAATACTTGACTCGAATATGAGGAAAATACTCGACTCGAATATGAAAAAAATATCAACTGTGATTAGTCAATTTCTTAAGGCTTAAAGCTTAAATCACCTATTGTGGACTCGGTCTAATAGGTAATTTAAGTCCGACCAATCACAATTAAGTATAAGGAGAATACTCGACTGTGATTAGTCAATTCTTTAACATTACATGTATTTCGGGAATATTCGGGGAGCATCCTGAATACATTCTGAAGATTTCGGATGTCCTCTGGATATCTTTAGGATGTGTTAATGGTCAATTTCTTAAGGCTTAAATCATCTATTGTAGACCAGGGCTTAGGCCGGGTCTACAATAAATGTAATAAACTTTAAGCCTTAAGAAATTGATCAATCACAGTCGATTATTCCCCTCATTCTTGACTGTGATTGGTAAATTTCTTAAAGCTTAGAGCTTACTACACCTATTGTAGATCCGGCCTTACAGTTGAACTTACAAATAATTATTCCATCATAAAGTTATAAAAATTGATTTTTTTTAAATACAATAAATATTATTTTTCTCTCATAATCACGGACTTAAATATAACTTAAATTTTAATTAATTAAAGGATTTTTAATTAATCGACCAAAACTAGCTAAAATGTTGTTTATTTATTAATAAATATTACGACGTTTTTATTTAAATAATCGATAGTTATATGTATTAATTGTATTTATTTCAGTTTATTTGAAAAGAACCACAACCATATAATCAAAACGTTGTAATATTTAATAAACAAAATTTTGGCTAGTTTTGGATGATTAAAAATTGATTTTTTAATTATATTCTACTAGCGATATATTAAGATATTTTAATTTTTAATTAATTAACCATAATTATTATACCCAACCTTGAAAATAATATAACCATTTTAAAATAAAGACAAATACAACAAATATACATATACATAAATATAAAAATTTTTAATACATTTATATGAATTATGTTCGAAGTTTTCGAAATTCTAAAGCGGGGAGCACACACTCTTGCATAAGCGCATAAGCATATGCATAAAGGTGCAATTTCATGGACGCTAGAAACCAGCGTCAAATTAAAATTACTAGATTTTCTCTAGATTCGGCGTTAAGAAAATATAGTGGGGAATAAAGTTCAGACCGTTTCAATTTTTTCAGCGTGCCGCAAATTCAATAATAATTGTAATTAAAAATGAACGAAGAAGAAGAAAGAGTTGTTCTTTTTGAACATTATTCACCTGCCTTGCACGTTCTGTTATCCATGCACGATATTTCTGCCTGTAAGCCATTATATTCTCAATTTTATCGACGGTTCACGACGCGCATATTTTGCCACTACTTCTCCCTCCATTAGACAAGCGACAATTTAGTCACGTGATCTCCGTTTGATGCTGGTTTCTAGCGTCAATGAAAACTGCGTGTAAGAAATTCGATTGGTTAAATTTCTTATGCATATATGCGTTTATAGACCAATCAAGATTCTCATGTTTACGCTTATGCGCCTATGCAAAAGTGTGTGCTCTCCGCTTAATTCGTTATTTACCGGCTTTTCACAAGAGGTCGGAGATCTGCTGATCCTAACCTCGAATACCCGGTGCCATTCAAAGCGACGAAGAGGAAGAGAAGAGTCTTGCTGATCTTTAAAGTAAAGTTAAAATTAATTATAATTAGCTCGAGCTTAAATAAATGGATCGTACCAGTGTAGGAAGTTCATTAGGAAGGATGATATCCTCTCCTAGAAAACGAATTTCGATGGTTCATTCATTGAAGAAAAACAGTTCGTAAGTTTTTTAGTATGATACTATAGTATATAATTATATGAACATTATGTGTTTTTATTATATGTAAGAATAATAAATAAAAAATTTTAGAGAAAAAACATTTAATATTTTTAAATTTAAATTTTATTGATATATGTGAAATTAAACTTCTTATATATATATAATTAATACTAGTTATTCATATAATTCTAATTGATTTTAGTTCCACAAGTGTATCAGGGCGTACAAATCAGTCTATACAAGTAATATGCAGAACACAGAGTCATACAGTAGAAAGTTTTGGCTCTCCACTGCCAGTTTTAGTTACTGAGGCATTAACATTTGTGGATCGGAACACAACTGTCAGTGTTAATGTGTCCGAAGATGGTTGGGCTTGGCTGGTGTATGGTCGCAAACTACTTGTATGGCAATGCAAAGTCAATATTCATGATCCTAAGCAGAGAAGAACCTTCAAAACACAGTGTCGTGAACTGTTGTTGCCTCAAAGTGATTTGGCACATAAAGCGAATTGTATCGCAGTTTGGGTACCTTCTAATCAACAGGTACTTGACAAAAAGTAAACCCTTGCAAGAGAGCTGTTAAGTCTTGGAATCTATATTCTTATGTATTCTTAATATAATGATATATTTTGGAATAAGATAATTAAGTAATGAAAAGAGGACACAAAAGTTTTGTAAAAAATATTATATACAGGGTGTCTTATTTTAACTTACACTCAAATATCTCGAAAAGTATACAGAAAAACGTTTCGAACAAAAGTCTGATTCGAAGGGAGATATAAGATATTTTACGTTTTATGTCAAAAAATTGTTATATTCAAATTATAAAAAGTACTCCATGAACAAATACTTTATTATAGTGTTTTGGAAAGCTCTTGAAATAAGTACAAGAATATGCAATAAAAAATGGGGTTTATGATAAAGAAATTGAAAGTGACTTTCACGTGAGCTTCAAATGAATATTCAAGGTCAAATCAATGGAACTATCTTATGTTCTCCTTTGAATCGAACAACTTTTGTTCAAAACGTTTTTCCGTATACTTCATATTTTTCAAGATATTTAAGTGTCTAAGTTAAAATAGGACACCCTATATATGTTATATTTTCATTTAATAGGTACCTAGCTGCATGGCAGTCTCTCCAGAAGGAGTGGTACGTTTCTGGGCTAGTATAGCACACGAAGGATCTTCCGTAGAGACCAGTGCTGAGCTCGCAGGACAAGAAGTGGGTTGTCTTATACATGTACCAGGTCATGGGTGTATTCTGGCCACGACCACGTGTACAGTGGCGTTATTACAGCCGCAGTATAGTAATGGAAAGAACAATATCACCTGCCAGGTACTTCGAACAAGCCAAGGATGGTTCGGTGGCATAGGTCGTAGAATGACCTCCCTTATCTTTGGCGCGATGCCACAATCACCCGTTGCAGAAACAAAATTGGTGAAGGTCACCTGCACGTCGCTAAGCGAGGGAGGCTCCAGAGTCCTTATCCTCGCTGGATCTTCTTTGCAATATTGGTTCTTTTCTCCCAACGAGCAGGAAAAGATGGAGTTCGACGAAGACATCACTCACATCGTTCAACAGGCGTTCCAGAGAAAGATTTGGGAATCCAGCCCTCAAAGTATGGACACGTGGTTCATCGATATGCAAACGTGCGACGAAGGAATAGTCCTTTTAATGGCAGCTTTTGCCGACACATTCGTCATTCAATTTGCTCTTGGATTGTTACCTTTGGTCGACACGACGCTGTCGCATTCATTCAAATGGTTCATACCGATCAAGATAGATCCGTTATTGTTCTATCACAACGATATAGAGTTTACGCTGATGTCCTATCACTTTGTGCTATGTGGCTGGGAGGCAATTATATACAACCAGCACAACGTACTCGTCATCAACACCGCGTCCGAGATCGAGCAGGATAAGATCGATCTGGTGAGAGGAGGCGAGGACAGTATATTAGGTGGCGCGATTTGCTCGGCGACTCCGGTGCTGTTTACAAAGAGCGTCGGCCTCGTCTCCATCGTCCCGGTGGACTTTGCGATGCAGGATTTTAGTTATGCGGACGCCAGTACTACCATGAGTATGGATTATAGTTACAAGGTGAATCAGACGCATCATACGGCGCAGAACTTCTCTACTCTCATAAGCAATGACGAACTTCAAGATATGTACTGCAGCTCTGATGCGACTATGCAGCTGCGTGCCGCGTTCCTTCTGAGTCTGCGCCAGAATAAAGTACAGTGCAATGAGATTCTGTCTCAGCTCTTCTCTTTGCAAGAGGACCCGGTGATGGACGTCGATCCCACCCTTGACACCCTCGTTCTCAAGGTCGCGAGGGATCTGATCGACGATTATCCGGCGAACGATCCGAGATGGACGAATCACAGGGATCTGTCTGTGACGATTAACGCGATCACCTCTATGCAGATACCTCATCAACTGGAGGGTAAGCAGGACGCGTTGGATCTCTTCGACATGTTCCTGAAGAAGTGCAACTTGTGGAGCAAGTTCTGCGCGGTCACCTGCAGAGGGACTATCATGTCCACCTCTTACGTGCTCGGCGAATACTCGGAGAAGGTGGTCGCGGCGTTGACCTTGTACAATTTACAAAACAGATACCCCGAGGTCATAGACCCGGTCATGGATCAGACATTGAAGCAGAAGGAAGCCCGTTTATCCGACGAGCTCACGGCGCGGGATATCTTCTACCGCGAAGTGAGCACGGTACACCTGTTCCTGCTGACTTTGGTGGAGAACGCGTGCGAGATCGCGCAATCCGAGAGACCCCTGCAACAAGTCGGGCAGTACATCGTCCAGATCAACACTATCCTGTTGACTGTACTGTACGAGGTGGTGAAATATCGTCAGTATAACGCCGAGCGCTTCGTTCCCGCGAAGTTCTCCAACGAGACCGAGTATCTACCTTGGACGGCGGCGCCGGGCAAGGATGGCTTGAGAAATTGTCTTAACACGATGCAGGGTATCACTCTTAAGTACGGCATAACCGGCACCGGCGATTCCGCCATCAAGAACGAACTGTACGAGCAACTGGTCAGCTTGATCGACCTGATCCTGGACGGGAAGAAATGTCATTTGGAGAGCATTCGCGGTACGGAGAAGTTCGAGGTGCTCTTGAAGCAGTACGAGGCGGAACGCGCTAATCTTATACAGCCGCTGATCAAGGAGGAGCAGTACGACAACGCCGCGATGCTGGCCGAGAAATACTGCGACTTTCCCTCGCTCGTGCAGATCTGCGAGTTGACCGGCAACAAGAATCGGCTCGACGGCTACGTGGAGAAATTCGCGGCTCAGGACTTCGCCGGTTTCCTGTTCTCTTGGTACATAAAGAACGGACGTCAGGGACAGCTGATCGAGAGATGCAGACGCGGTGGGACTGCGGAACTGACCGAGAAGCTGTCGGAACATCCCACCTTGTCCTGGGTACAAGCGGCGTTGACCGACGAACTGCAGCTGGCCGCGAATACACTTCTGGTCCTGGCGGCTCAGGAGTACGAGCTGATAGTACGTAAGAAGTCGATGCTGTCGCTGGCCAAGCTGGCTCTGCTCGCGTCGGATGAGCTGGAAGACAAGGTAGCGGAATGCACGAGGACCATCAATAACGAGCTGACTCTCGTGGCTTACCAGGAGGATCTGCCGGCGCAGGTACTCGCCATGTACGGTTACGACATCAAGAATCTGCGGGTGCTCGCACCCAGGGAACTGATTATGCTGTACACTTCGAGCGACAACGCTATAGCCAACGAGTACGATTTCAAGAAGGCTTTGGACTTGCTCGACTACGTGGAAAATGAGGAGGATAGATTGTCCTTAAGATTGCAAATCTGGGCGCGCGCCGCTCGGCGAAATCAGTGGGACACCATAGAGAATAATCCCGAGCAACAGGTGCAAGAAACGCTTTTCTTCAAACTGATGGATCTTACGTATTTCATGGGTGAGCGCGATGATATGGAAATATTCTTGAAATATTCAGAAGAGATGTTTTATAAAAAAATGTCGCGTTTCAGAAAAAAAATGTTTTGTATACAAGTTGATTGGTTTTGAGGGGAAAGAAGTTGGCCTTACTGGCTTTTTTCTAAAGGGCGATTTTCAAGATCATTTAAAGGTCTTTTGTTTTTTTAAATGGAATCTTTTTTTTATAAACAATTATGTATTTTCTTTATATCAATTAATTCTTCTCATTATTTTGTGCATGAAAATATTGAAGTAAGATCGTCGAAAAATGAATATTTTATGATATATTTCATAATTTATGTAAATTATATTAAAAAATATAAAAATCTATTCTCATTTTTTGGCCATCTTACCCTTATAAATTTTTACAGTGAATACTGCGAGGTCGATTTATATATATAAAAAATTAGTTTTATTTAAAAAAATATAAATGACCTTGAAAATCGTCCTTCAGGAAAAATCAGTAACGTCAACTTTTTTCCTCCTCAAAATCAAATAACTTTTGTTCGAAACATTTTTTTCTAATAATAAAATGCGACGTTTTTTAATATATTTTAGAATATTATTTAAAATGGGACATCCTATATATTTCATATTGCGTATTTTTGCTTTTACAGGTGGAAAAGCGGATGAATTTCTACCATGCATCGACATGCTTCTGAAAGAATCGGAGCTTGGAGAACTCGCTACCTCGAACAACTTTCAGTTTCTTATAAAATTGATATACGAGTACGCTTATCGAAATTATTAAATGAGGAAAAGCTATTCATGAGGATAATAATTTGTATTTTGTATAACAAAGTAACGATGTTGAATAGCGAAGCGGCAGTATTATGTGATATATTTTAGCTTTTCTCACATTAAATTCATTTATAGTTATTTATATTATAATGTCAATTATTTTTATATCTAGTTTTATATATATATATATATATATAAAACTAGATATATATATATATATATATATATATATATATATATATATATATATATATATACACACATATATACATACACAGGGTGTCCGATAATTCGCGGACCACCTTTCGTGGCCAGGTAGAGCACGTTAAATTGAATAGAACAATCTTTTTACTAAATTCTCAATAATTATTGAGTTATTTATTAAAACATCTAAGCGAATGAGCGGATGGAAAGTGGGTAGGCCGGACTTGGTGGGCATGCCGGATGGCTTATTTGTTATATGTCGTTGAGTATCAAACGTATCATCTTACTTTTCGGCGCCGCTACATTGCTCGCCGTTCGCTGCATGACGCCGCCTCTCGATCAGATGCTTTCCACTTATTCGCTTAGATATTTTAATAAATAATTCAATAATTATTGCGAACATCGCAAAATGATACGGGACTTTTCTTATTCAGTTTAACATGCTCTGTCTGACCATGAAAAGTGGGTCGCGAATTCTCGGACACCCTGCACATATATATATATATATATATATGTATATATCAAATTGACATTATAAAATGTTGCATCTATGAAATGCACAATATAATTAGATACTTTAAGTTTATTATGAACAAATTCTCTTACATGTTAAAGACTTAGTTTGTAAATAAAATATAAATAGGTTTATAAATAAATAAAATGAATAAATTTTTTTAAGAAAAATTTTCATAATGTATATTTTACATTCTTGCTTGATTTAGCAATATTTCCATTCCATTTCTGAAATGTAAAATGCGGTAAAATATAAATGAAAATGTAATTAAATATATACATAATATAAAGAAAAGACTTTATTCTAAGAGAAAATGAAGAATTTTACCTGCACGTTTATATTAAAAAGTGGCATTTTATATTATATATGAAAATGATGCAAGGCACATGTGTATTGATGCATTTAAAATTATCAATTATACACATTTATACATGTATACATTAATTTATATATATATATATATATATATATATATATATGTGTGTGTATATATATATATATGTATATATATATGTATATAATACATTCTTATTCATCAAATCAATTTCAAGAACAACTTTTTAGTATTCTATATCCGAAGATATAAACATAAATATTAATGAATAATATATATAAATGTCAAATCATTATTTTAAAAGATAAAGATATATCAACAGATTGTATCATTAAATAATTAAGTTAGAAAATTAGCATTTTAATAGATTTTTTACGTTTTGATTTTCTAATAGAAAAAAATCCTAAAAAAAGATAAAAATCTTGCATGTAATTCACATGACATTAATCCTAAATTCATCTAATTATTAATAATATGAAAAAAGGTCATCTTAATTCAATTGCTACTTGAATATTATTGCTCCTCGATTCCTATACTATTCAATGATTCACACATTATTGGCTAAGATATAGTAAGATATGTTTTATTTTTTAATACTGATAAGAGATAACCGACTGAACACAATTTATATATATTTTGTACAAATGCTTTTATATATTTTGAACAAAAATATTTTTACATATATACACTATTTTTTATATTTTAAAATAAAATATCTGTTCAATATTACCTATATTATAATGTATATTACAATTCTTTAATTTATTTTATAAACAAAAAATTTTAATCTGATCTTACACATATTGAAGCAACGTATGTATATATATATATATATATATGAATATCATAAATATGAAATAATAAGTTTTTTATATAATAATTAATTATAACAACTAATGATATCAATTTTATAATATATGTATTTATCAAATAATTGAAATCGATATATTCTTTAATAAAGATCATCTCTGCAAACGTGAGTGGGAGTAAATTATTACTCATACAACGTATCGTATCTTATCTTTTGATAGTGATGGTTACTATGTCTCTTGAAAGGTGTGGTGTAGTATCGTTAAGTAAAACCAAAGGGATAAGATCTTTCTTACATAAAAGAGGCAAAGGTGCTGAATAAGTTCTTTATTTTACGAAATATTTCGTTCCGCGTTATTGATTTCAAGAAAAATATCGATTCAAAATACAGTGCAATAGAATACATTTTATATTTTCAATTTTCAGCGGTCGCAAAATGATCAGATTATACTCCTGGATTATTTTATTTGTTCTTGGTAAGAAATATATTATTTCAAGTGTTTGTGATTAATTTCAGTGTAATGTGGTTGTTAAAAGAAATAATGAAAAGTTATTATAAGATGATATGATATTCTTCTTGTGTGCATGTATATATGTATATGTGGGCATATATTATATATATTTTGTTTTATATTTATATATTAATACACTGATGATACAATCAGGAAAGAATTCTACATAAAAAATAAGTCGAAAATGTGTAGAATAATTTTTCATTTTTCACAAAATTTTTTGTATAAATTTAATTTTGAAAATTGTGAAAATGATAGTACATTTTATACTTATTTATGCTTGAATAATCTCTAATATCTTGTATTGTACTACATTATGTATATAACAAATACATTTTTTCTTTATAAAAAAATAATTTATATCTAATACATATAAATATTTTATAATTTTATATCATTATTTAATTCCGTATTATTTAAATTATTTATAATTATTTTACTAAATAAAATGTATAATTTTATATATATTTTATGTCATAAAAATTCTTATAGAAATAAAAATACAGCATAAAATAATTAGAGATTATTCAAAATTAAAAAAAGTTATGGAATTAATTTTTTAAACTTTAAACTAAATTTTCACGAAAACGAACTCTTTATAAAAAATACTTTATAGTTTTAATTTATTTTTTCATATAATTATATAATAATATTATATTGCCTTTTTCCAATTGTATTATCAATTATTTTAGGCACTTTCGCACAAGATAATGCCTATCGAAATGTTGCACCGACGCTTCGAGAATGTTACGAAAATAGATATCTTTTAGAGAAGGATAATAAATTACCCCATACATTAAATACATTAATTGCAATTCTCGATAAGATTGAAACAGAGAACATGCAAAATGGCTGGAATTTACGAAAATTGGCCGTCGGAATTATGCATAGGTAATTTTTTTGTAATAATATTAGAATAAGACAAAAATTATAAATTAGAAAAATATACTTATATATCTCGCGGTTATAAAATATTTATTAAAGTTACAAAAATACACATTGGAGGATTTATTTATAAAAAATCCATATATAGATTTCGCCAAGATGGAATAGAAAAAAATCCAGCTGTCCAACAGCAATCCGGTATATTACCATATAGAGCAACTGGACAAGGTCAAAAATATTTGCAAATAGCTCGCTTTGTACCAGAAAAGACGATTCCAGACGATAGCCTTCCCTACAATATAATCAGTGATATTGAAAGAGTAAGGCTTAATAAAAATTCGTACTTCACTATTTAATTATCAATATATATTATTAAAAAATATAATAAAATATATATATATACATATATATATATATACATATATATATATATATTATATATATATACGTATTTATAATAAAACATATAATAAAAATATACTATAAATATAAAATATATGTTAATTCTATTATTATTAATATTATTAACATTTATTATTATTAATAATATTAATATTAATTAAATTAATCAATTAGTAGTACATTAATAATATTATTATTAATATTAATATAAAAGTATAAAAATTATCAAAAAGCAAAGAGGCTCGTATTATGCAACGCAATAAATAAAAATAATGAAAGACCAATGAGCATACGAATAGGTGTAATATAATAAATTTTATTTATAAATTATGAACTTAAATTCTTACATAAACTTAGAGTTTGAACTTAAATTTTTTACATAATCTTAAAGTTTCGACTTATAGTCTTCTTTAGTACAATAATCTAAATTAAACCCCCACATAAAATAACAATTATTAGGATATATCAAAAATAGCGATCATATGACGAGCGAACTATCCATAAATGTTCTAACAATAGTATAATATAATTTCTAATATCTAACAATAGTGTAATATCGAATTTTTTGTCCCACAGTCACGTTTGAGACACGCTGTAAATAAGAAGCTAATGACAGAACTTTTATTATCAAGACATATTTTTATTATTAGAAATTCATCCATCTGATTACTATATGGAACTCGCATATATATTTGATTTGATTGACAACTGCTGCTTTCAAACTGACGAAATTTGGACAAATCTTTTCTCGCCTTCCAACGAAGAATAAGGGGTTTAAAATCTCTCTCATTACTAACATAAGCGTTCCATAATGTTAGATTTAAAATTGTTTACATTTGCTATGGCTTCTTAGAAATTACACTATTGTTAGAATATTTATGGATAGTTTGCTCGTCATGATTGCTATTTTTGATATACCACGTAATAATTATGTTATTTTATGTAGGGGTTTAATTTAGATTATTATACTGAGGAAGACTAACAATAAGTAGTAAATTGAAACGTTTACTTTAAGATTATGTAAAGAATTTAAGTTCAAATCCTAAGTTTATGTAAGAGAATTTAAGTTTACGATTTATAAATAAAATTTAATTTATTATATTATACTTAAGCTCGTATGCTCGTAAGTTGGTCTTTCATAATTTTTATTTATAAAAATTATATTTTTAAAAGTATGATTTTCGAAAATTATATATATATATTATAGATTTTTATTTATAACGGATCTATATTATTTTATAGTGCACCCTTCATTTTATGCTATCCAGCAGTATCGAAATCTTTGAAAGAGGTGACGAAGGGACAGTATGTAGATATGCTGACTTATATAGAAATGCGAGAAGTATAAACAACAAACATTCTATTAATACAAAATTCAATATTGACGATGAAGTAGAAACCTTAACGCCTGAACAAATGTAAATACCTATAATATAATAATAATAACAACAACAACAACAACAACAATAATAATAATAATATATTATTAATATATTATTATTATTATTATTTATTATTATTATTATTATGTAATTATAGGAATATTATCTACAGATATATACAATAATAGTATATGTACTTATTTAAAAAAATTTTTTATACATATATAGCGACATTATTACGAATCACAAAAATGGGATTACAGAAGATACGGTTGATCCAAATACGTTTTATCCAGAATTACCCCCAAATCATCCAAAAAGTGCTCGGATTTTCGCATATCCACCGAGAAGCAGATGTCCTGTGGAAAATGGTGTTATAAAAACTAAGTATGTAGATTTTATGTTTAATTTTTGTGTGTGTGTGTGTGTATATACAGGAGGATGTATCTATAAATAAGTGCGAAAAATTTTAGGAGATGATTCTTTGTCGAAAATTAACCCAGCAAACACCGATATATATAATTGTTACATTGCTATAATAAAACGGGATATAACAGGTAATATAACGTGTACGTTACATGTAACATCCATGTTAGTTGTAATTACCCACTCATAAATGTAACATTTTAATATAACATATATTACATTGTAGTTATATTGTAATTATATACCAAATAGCACATTGATATATTACCCAGCAAACACAGTATATAAATGTTATATACTTAAGCATGTTACATGTAACGTATATGTTAGTTGTAATTTCCCACTCATAGATGTAACATTTTTAATATTACATATATTACATTGTAGTTATATTGCTATTATATCCCAAGATAGCACTGACTTATCAATACATTAATGTGCTATTTGGTATATAATTACAATATGACTACAATGTAATATATGTTATAATAAAATGTTACATCTATGAGTGAGAAATTACAACTAACATGGATGTAACATGTAACATACACGTTATATTACCTGTTATATTCAGTTTTATTATAGCAATGTAACAATTATATATCGGTGTTTGCTGGGTTAATAAGTCAGTGCTATCTTGGGATATAATAACAATATAACTACAATGTAATATATGTAATATTAAAAATGTTACATCTATGAGTGGGAAATTACAACTAACATATACGTTACATGTAACATGCTTAAGTATGTAACATTTATATATGTGTGTGCTGGGAAGGGAGGCTTCTTATAAACATACATATACTTTCTTATATTTCTCCCTGAGGAGTTACACCCATTTACGACATCTTCCGATTGCAAATATATATTAAATACGTAATAAGTAATAATATTGCGTTTACATTACATTTTATTATATATGAAATATGACGTATTAAATACGTACCCAGCAAACACAGTATATAAATGTTATATACTCAAGCATGTTACATGTAACGTATATGTTAGTTGTAATTTCCCACTCATAGATGTAACATTTTTAATATTACATATATTACATTGTAGTTATATTGTCATTATATCCCAAGATAGCACTGACTTATTAATATATCAATGTGCTATTTGGTATATAATTACAATATAACTACAATGTAATATATGTTCTATTAAAATGTTACATCTATGAGTGGGAAATTACAACTACCATGGATGTTACATGTAACGTACACGTTATATTACCTGTTATATTCCGTTTTATTATAGCAATGTAACAATTATATATCGGTGTTTGCTGAGTAATTTATACAATACCTATGTTTGATATATCCAAGTGAAAATACATCAAGAGACACGGTAGTGTCTCGCGACCAGTTAAGGGCGTAGCGGAGACACCGTGTATCTTAACGCGAGTCGGACATTTGAGTCTTTATAATATTTCGAATCCTCAATAATGGCTGAAGCAATCGAGTTTATACTAGACTTAATCGATAGATTGAGTTCGAATTATATAATAAAAGTGTCTTTATTTCTGCTCTACGTGATTTGTAAGCAGAGATATATAAATGCAAAGTCGAAATATGAAAAATTTCTATTAAGAAACGTCCATCGTCATCATTATCATCATTATCATCATCGACCACGCATACATAGTAGTATCGTGCTACACGTATTCACACGTATACAACACATGCGCACACATATATCACACGTACACAACACATGCAAGATGCATGTAGTGGTAATTTTGTCCATCTCGCACGTTTTACAACAGATGGCGATAGTGGCGCTCCGCCATATCGGCAGCGTGCGGGGTTATGTTGGCTAACTCTCTCTCTCTCTCTCTCTCTCTCTCTCTCTCTCTCTCTCTCTTTCTCACACACACACGCACACACACACACACTCTCTCATTCTCACTCACTCACTCACTGTTCGTCTTGTGTACTTATTTAGTACATTCATGATCGGCAGCGTGCGGGGTTATGTTGGCTACTCTCTCTCTCTCTCTCTCTCTCTCTCTCTCTCTCTTTCTCACACACACACGCACACACACACACACTCTCTCATTCTCACTCACTCACTCACTGTTCGTCTTGTGTACTTATTTAGTACATTCATGATTAAACATCTATATGCATTAATGTGAAATTTACTTACAATTAGTTTACTTGAAATATTCAATCTCTAAAGTGTTTATCTTATAAGATAGACAAAAAAATCTGAGTAAATAATAAGAAAAAAAAACAAGGATTATTATTGTCATAATTTTTTATCAATTAAGTACTCTCAACTATCCAATAATTAAATAAATACGTACAAATGTGCGCGCGTGTACACACATACACATATTGATATTAAAGAGATTGAAGGAGAGGAAGGAGAAGATAAAAATTTAAATATTCACATATATTTTCAAATATTATATATGAATTTATAGTTTACATATCTAATTAATAATGAATTTCTAATTATATTAAACATATCAAAATAAAGACATACATGTATTTATCAAATGAATAAAATTATTGAATACAGACTTAAAAAATTTATTAAACATAGACTTAAAAAATTAATTAATTAAACATATTCCAAATTTAGAAAAAATAAACTTTATTTATATATGCAACAGCTTTTTAAACTAAATTTTTAAATTCTATTTTATATTAGACAATTATCTCAATCAACATCTACGTCCACATTAGCTGCACTGCAGACTACCTCTACAGCCACATTATCTGCTCCGCGGATATAGCGTTATGCCAATACGATACATTACATGTACTTACTTACTTGCCTTTACTGTACCAACTCTTGTTCTTTCCACGTAATCATGTTTTTACAGTTATCGTTTGCTGTATATCTTCCAGCAAACTTTATTTCGTGTGAAGTGTATTTAATTAATTAAATCTCTGCGAAAGATTGAGAAGATGAAGGGATAATTCAAACTATGAAGACATGGTTACATGGAAAAGACAAGAGTTGATACAATAATAAAGACATACATGTATTTGTATCCTGCTGGCATAAGGTTATAGAAGTTGATTGAGATTGAAAAATAATAATGAAAATAATAAAAAAAATAAAGACACATGTATTTGTATCGTGCTGGCATAAAGTTATAAAAGTTGATTGAGATTGAAAAATAATAATAAAAATAATTAAAAAAAGGAAATATTCAATCATCATTTAAAAGCATATTTGAAATCTGTAGAATAAACAGTTTTTGCAAAAAATGTGGAGCATTTGAGCTCTAGTAAGTCTAAAAATAAATGTAAACATCAATTAATAATAACTGATGTTATATATATATTATATATATAAACCAATTTGTTGCAATATTCACTATAAAAGGTTGTAAGGGTAAGATGGCTAAAAGTGAATAATTTAAAAGATAGTTAACATAATTTTACATAAACTGAAATATTTCATAAAATAAAATATTTGTAATATTTCGAAGTTTATGTAAGATTATGTAAAAATTATACCTTTACAACTTTTTATAGTAAATATTGCGAGGAATCGATTTATATGAGAAAAATTAAGGTAATTCTATTTTGAAAATATAAGTGACCTTTAAATAACCTTGAAAATCGCCGTTTAGGAAAAAGTCTGTGTCAACTTTTTCTTTTTCGAAATCCTGCAACTTTTATCTAAATTTAATAGAAAATGTATAAAAAATGCTCGACATTAGTACACACACACACACACACACACATATGGGTAAATTTATATAAATAGGGTGCTTTAGGAGGAATGATCAGGATTCTAGGATATGATTGTACACATCATTTTAAGCAAAGAAGTTTAGATAAACATGTTTAATAATTGTTCTATTCCGGTCATAAAAATATACAAAAATGAATGATATAATCTCTAAAAACTCACCTTTAAAAAAAGGTAAAAAAAGGCGACCAGTTAAGGGCACGCCATTAACAAAAATTATCCATTGCAAACCCATGTAGAATCCTATCCTATTGCAAACCCATGTAGAATCCTATGAAAAATTAATCATTGCAAACCCATGTAGAATCCTAGGCAAAATTAACCATTGCAAACCCATGTAGAATCGTACCCATTGCAAACCTATGTAGAATCCTATGAAAAATTAACCATTGCAAACTCATGTAGAATCCTATGAAAAATTAACCATTGCAAACCCATGTAGAATTGTATTAAAAATTATCCATTGCAAACTTATGTAGAATCCTACATTGCAAACCCATGTACAATAGAATTGTATGAAAAATTATCGATTATAAACCCATGTACAATCGTAACAAAAGTAATGAAATAAAAAAAAAATTGCGCCAAGTGAAAGTAGAAACTTGTACCAGTGGAAAATTAAAGTTGCAGACATATATAGAGTCGTATAATGAATCAGTAAAAATTTAAATTTGCAAATGTAGAATCGTACCATAAAAAAACTTATCTTTTAAAAAAAAGATAAACAAGATGCCAAGTCCATGCGCCATGTGAAAAAGAAATAAAAAAATTTTAGTTAAAAAAACTGGGAGCGCTGCTAAATAATATTCTAACAATATTAAAATTAAATTGTTACTTTTAAACTCATTACAGTTAAAATATGTTTTGTGTTTAAATTAATTAATGTTACTTTAAGGTGCATTGTAATTTTGAAACTTAGCAGCGCGCCCAGTTTTTTTAACTAAAATTTTTTTATTTCTTTTTCACATGGCGCATGGACTTGGCATCTTGTTTATCTTTTTTTTAAAAGATAAGTTTTTTTATGGTACGATTCTACATTTGCAAATTTAAATTTTTACTGATTCATTATACGACTCTATATATGTCTGCAACTTTAATTTTCCACTGGTACAAGTTTCTACTTTCACTTGGCGCAATTTTTTTTTATTTCATTACTTTTGTTACGATTGTACATGGGTTTATAATCGATAATTTTTCATACAATTCTATTGTACATGGGTTTGCAATGTAGGATTCTACATAAGTTTGCAATGGATAATTTTTAATACAATTCTACATGGGTTTGCAATGGTTAATTTTTCATAGGATTCTACATGAGTTTGCAATGGTTAATTTTTCATAGGATTCTACATAGGTTTGCAATGGGTACGATTCTACATGGGTTTGCAATGGTTAATTTTGCCTAGGATTCTACATGGGTTTGCAATAGGATAGGATTCTACATGGGTTTGCAATGGATAATTTTTGTTAATGGCGTGCCCTTAACTGGTCGCCTTTTTTTACCTTTTTTTAAAGGTGAGTTTTTAGAGATTATATGTAATACGTAGCAGGTATACTGCGCATACTATATAAATATATTTATGTATTAAATACGTAGTTGATACGTATTATCGTAGTAGCACCATTAATCTAAAAAAATTAAATGAGAAGTTGAGCATGTTTCTGTAATTGCGGTGATCTGATGTTTAAAATATTATAAATATAATTACCCAGCAAACACCGATATATAATTGTTACATTGCTATAATAAAACGGAATATAACAGGTAATATAACGTGTACGTTACATGTAACATCCATGTTAGTTGTAATTTCCCACTCATAGATGTAACATTTTAATATAACATATTACGTTGTAGTTATATTGTAATTATATACCAAATAGCACATTGATGTATTGATAAGGCAGTGCTATCTTGGGATATAATGACAATATAACTACAATGTAATATATGTAATATTAAAAATGTTACATCTATGAGTGGGAAATTACAACTAACATATACGTTACATGTAACATGCTTGAGTATATAACATTTATATATTGTGTTTGCTGGGTATATATGTGAAAAATAATTTAGTGAGTGAAAGATAAAAGTTTTTTTATATTTGTAATGATTAGAATTTCCATACGGTTGTAATTGTACAATATTAATGCATATTTGATTATGATTATGTGTTATTTTTCTATAGCAAGTTACATGATAAATAATTTTCTGTATTATGGATAAAAAATAAGTAACCGTGATATTTTTTCAAGGCATAAGAGACGATTAGTATAAAAAGAAACGAAAAAAGATTATTTCTTGCTAGAATCGTCAAGCAGTGGTGTGATTGATTTTGGACCATTGGGCGAATGTATAAAAAAATGTCATTTATTCATAAACGCGTACAGAGCATTTTCCAGCAAGCGACACAGTGTTACACTGAGAATTGTTTCATCTTATTGTTATTCATTGGTATTGAAAAAAATAGAATAATACTCTATGTAACATATTATGTTTGTATCGCTTGCTGGAAAACGCTCTGTATGTATATATATGAATAAATAACTTATATAATACATTTTAAACGCGTATTTGCAATATTATGTACAGATACGTATCAAATATTTACATATATTATTATATTATTATCATATGTATCTGATATGTAACGTAAATTATGTATCCATAGCGCGGACATTTATCGGTATTAAATATGTATTTAATACATAATTTATATGTATTGCTATGTATCTGCTATATAGCAACATTTCAAATTTTATGTATCTGTTATGTATCTGTCTGTGTATCTGCTGTGTATCTGAAATCTAAAACTTTTTTAAAGAGGAAGGTAAAAAATTAAGTTCTTATTTTTTTCTCAAATTTCAGGTAAATTAAAAAAATGAAACTTATTGGTGGATATTTTCCGCTAATAAAAAGGATATTTATTAATATTAAAAAAAATAAAAATTAATAAATTTTTATTTTTTTAAATATTAATAAATATCTTAATATTAATATATATAATAAATAAAATTAATAAATTTTTATTTTTTTAAAATATTAATAAATATCCTTTTTATTAATGGAAAATATCCACTAAGTTTTGTTTTTAAAATAAATAAGATTAAAACTAACAGTCTCTTATGCTTTAAAAATTAAAATAATTAGAATCATTTTTATATTTTTAATTTTTATTTCCTTTTTTAAAAAAGTGTAACTCCTCAGGGAGGAATATAAGAGTATATGTTTATATATAAGAAACTTCCTTTATTTAAAAAAAAATTATCCTAAAATTTTTTGCACTTTATCAGATACACCCTGTATATAGAAATATGTACATTTTCACAAAATGTTAGTCTATTATACAATTTTTAATCTCTGTAGTAATTAGGAATAATATTAAGATCTATATGTACGTATATGATTTCAAAATTTTACTTGAATCCAATAATCAAGTTTTATTTTTTAGGATTCGAAATTCATAAAACATAATATTTCATATGTTGTACTTGAGAAATATATTGAATCTAGAATAGTTAATATATTTGAATTTTATTAGCTGATGATAATCTTTATTTGACTTTGGATCAAAGTTTAAAGGATTATATTTCAAGATAAACATAATTTTTTTAAAATTACTCTTTTTTTTATATCAATCAATTTTCTTGCAATATTTGGTATAAAAAATTATAAAGGTACAATGATCAAAAAATGATTAGCTTAGAGATATTTTGTACTTTAATATGTTACATAATTTTACATAACATATATTTCGTGAACTGATCATATTTTTCGTTGATTTTATCTTAATATTTTTAAACACAAAATAATAAGAGAAACCATGTAAAGAAAACAGTTTTACTTTTAAGAAAAGAATATGTTAGCTGTTAGCGGCAAAATTATGTTTTTTTAAAAAGAACTGTTTCTTTATTTATACTAATTGATTTCTTATTTATTTTATGCATAAAAAATATTGAAGTAAGATAATCAAAAAATGAATATTGTACAAGATATTTTATATAGTTTGTGTAAAATTACATTATATTATAAGAGGATTCTAAAATAGAATAATAAATGCTTGTCCGTAATTAAAGTAAATATATAGAAATAAAAATATAAAATGTGTTAATAAACCGACCACAACTGGCAATGTTATTCTTTAGTTATTTATTCAAAATTCAGACGTTTCGACCTTAGTTCAGGTCCTTGTCAAGTCTATAATCAAAAAAATACAAAAAAAATCGGAATTTACCGATTTTATATTAAAAACAAAAACAAAAAAAAATAAAAATTAAAAAAATTTTAATATAAAATTAGTAGTCAGGCTTTGTTTCTACTTTGTCCTTTAATCGTAGAAAAGTATTTATTATATTATATTCTATTTAATCAATAAAAAGAAAAGTGTACACAAAAATGATTGTTTTGATGATAAAACAGAACGGCTTTAAGATCCTCTTAAAATACAAAATATCTTATAAAGTTATTCACTTTTTGTATTTCTACTATCTTTATAATTTTTCATGTCAAATCACCAAATATTGCAAGGAATTGATTTATATACAAAAATTATAGTATCTATTAAACAAAATAAAGTTAATCTTGAAATAACCTTTTGGACTTATATTTGATCAATTATAAAAGACCAACAGAGACTCAAAGACAACAGAGATGACTCTCTCAATACCATAATTTTTGTTTGAAATATTTTGTCCTAAATTTAAAAGCTCTGAAATATTCCAGAGGATTGATGAAGAAAATAATGTTATATAAAGTTTGCTAGAAATGCTTTATAATACAGAGTTTGAATACAAAAACCCTGCACTTAATTCTATATAAGACATTGGATCTTGAAAGTTAGCTGGTTTTCTCATATATATTTTTCTATATTTGTAGCTTAAATCCTAGGATAATCTGTATGTATAAAGTAAAATTTCTCATAAGTATTTACATTTGAATCTACATTCGATTCAGATTTGAATGTACTTGGAAGTATATGTATATTGCTCTTGTTTTTTCGAGATATTTATAGGAACATCGAATCTATCTCGTCCAGATTCGAGTTTACTTTTTTTTTAAATAATCATAGAGACTTTGAAATCACACAAACGAATTGGAAACTACGTTATAAGATAATTAATTCCATCGTTTTTACAGCTGGGGTGCAGTGTCTGCTGGGGCAGTAATCGCTGGTATAGCTGCTGGATTACAACCTGAGACAGTAAAACTCTCAGAAGTGTTCCCTAATGAATCGACAGAGAGAAGAGCAAATCTATCAAGATTGACATTGGATAATAGATGGATTGCGACCGTGGCTGGTAATGATATATTTATATCTTTTCTCGTGTTCTATGCTTTTGTAATATAAGTTGTTCCATTTTAGTTAATGTTAAAGTCAAATATTGTTGAAACACTATATAAATATATGAATTGATTGAATACCCACATAGCATAAAATCTTTCAGAGATCTTCGCAACATTTACTCAAAAATGTCTCATATACGTGTCTTAAGGGGATGCTGATTAAGTCTGTCTTATCGACAAATATTATTTTTATTTAAATAATAAAAATAATATTTGTCGATAAGACATACTTAATTAGCTTTACAAAATGATAAATCCTTTATTAGCATATTAAAGTATTCATAATAACAAATTTGGACTACTATATGTGTATTTAAAAAAAAAACAAGAAAATTAAATAATTACAGTTTTCTTATTGCTCAGGTTTAGATTAGGTTGATCCAATGTAAAAGATCGATAGAAAAACTGTGATTAACTTTCTTGTTTTTTTATATACATATGTAGTAGCCTAGATTTGTTATTTTAAATACTTTAATTTTAGTAAGGATTTTTCATTTTATATATAAAGCCAATAAAGAATTAAATGAAAATAATATTTGTCGATAAAACAGACCTAGTCAGCATTCCCTTAAGGTAATGCTGTCGTTCTGTTTTATCGATTGAACAATTATTTCTTTTTAGACAAGTTATTCTTTTTATTGGCAATTTATATATACAAAATAAGACCAGCGCGAACTTAGAATTGAATTAAGAAATATAAGTGAACGTTTAGATATCAATTTGGAAGCCTAGTAAAAGAGAATAGTTTGTCTAAAATTTTTGTGCATACGTGTATGTGCACACATATATGCACGAAAATTTTAAGGGGATGCTGGAATGACGACCGAACTCTGATAGGTTAGCACCACACATATCTAAACATATGCACGTATACAACACATATGCGTGAAAATTTTCTGCACCGTTTTCTTATATATTAGTGTTGGTTATTTCTGGCGAATAAATTTAGTTCAATTTTCCTGTATGAGTATATATATATTTATTCGGTATAATACACAGTAACCGAGGTGTTGTGCTTCGCTCAACGTCTTCGTTCGTACTGAGAAGAAAAATTGTTTTCGTCGAGCCGTCGCCGGAGCGAGGCAGATGACTGCCCAAGGGCGCAACCTTCAATATTTGGATCTGAGAATCTCTGAATATTATTCTAACAATTAGGCTTCTAAACTTATATCTAAACATAATATATGATATTTTAAATCGGCCAATAGAGCCCAAGCGCGAAAAATTAATTCTTCAGAACTGTATCTTATATGTAAAGTTCGAGATTAATTTATATATGGAACTTAGTAATCTCAAACCAAGAGATACAGTTCCGAAGAATTAATTTTTCGCGCTTGGGCTCTATTAGCCGATTTAAAATATCATATATTATTCTTAATATTGAGAGCCGATAAAAATATTTATCATTTGATTATATCTAAAAGTTTACTAAATACTTTTTCATTCAATTTCTAGTCGGAACCTATCTTATTTTGTACGTACAAATAGCAGAACTCAGAATTTTTATATTAAACAATTATTTTTTTGACCTGACAGAAGTCGATAAAGAAATTTTAGTTTTTAAATTTTTTCTTGTTTTTAACATAAAATCGTTAGGTGCCAACTTTGTTTCTGTATGTACTTTAATCGTGGTAAAGCATTTGTTATTCTATTAACGCAATAAAAACTTCTCGATTGTGGAAAAATATAATCAGTTTGATCGGTAAAAACATACCTGCAGCATCCTCTTAAACAAGCTATTTTCTTTTACTAGGTTTCCAAATTGATATTTAAATATTCACTTATATTTCTTTATTCAATTTCAAGTTCGTGCTGGTCTTATTTTGTACATACAAACTGCTAAAAAAGAAAATCTTGTCTAAAAAGAAATAATCGCTCGGTTGATAAAACAGAGCGACTCTTAATTGTATAATTTTTCTGTTTGTATATTTTTCTTTTATAATACTCATATTTTATATTATAATTTTTTAATATTGAATATTATATGATCGAGATGACATTCTAAAAAGTATATGTATATACTATAGGTGATTTGGCTGAGGTTACTTTAATACAGGGCCCTACAAACGAAAGACTTAGTGTGGGTGTAAATGGAAATTGGAATTCATCATCGATGCCTCGTTGGTATTTTCTTAAATCTAATGAAAAATTACAATTTACGACAGCCGAAATCAGAGGAGATCTCGATGGATTGATTCTCGCTAAAGAAATTGAATCTTTATATTCCAAAGCATCTACTTTAAGACTATCGCAAGTTTTAGATATGTATTATAATGCTCGCGGATTGTTTAATCCATCACTTAGGGCGTGTAATCGAAAAACTTTGTTTACCAAACTTGCAGAAAATTCAACGATGTTTGAACAGGTAATATATTATAAAATACTATAAATTTTAGAGTTAATTAATCAGAGAAACAAATCAGTAAAAATGTAGTGTACATATGTGCACATTTTTAGTACACAATTATTTTTAAGAATTACACTAGTTTACAGCCAATAATTATTTTAAACCAGACAAAGTGTTTCTTATAGATTTTTGGATACTAAAAATGATGCAGTAAATCAATTTTACTAGCATGTAAGATTTCCAAAATAACTGAACTTTATTAATTTGTAAAAAATGGCTTTTTTGCGATATTTGAGATTTTTTGTGAGAGTTAACGTTTTATTTGAAAAAAATCTGATCAAATATCATGAATATATTATTTATCCTCTATAAAATTAATTTTTTAAATTTCAATATCTGACTTTTTAGCTATGTTATGAAAGATTAAAGCTGGGAACTACTTATATGAAGATGTTCACGAAAAAAAGGTTTTGGAAAAAAATTATTTTTTCCAAAATTGATTTTATCATTTTATTTGTCCCTTTTTAGATCATACAACTTTTATCAGGAACATTTTTTTGAAAATGCATTTGTTTCGAAAATTTTAAGATGGGCAATGAAAATGAGACATCCTATATATATAGGATGTCTCATTTTTATTGACCGTACCTTAAATTTACCTGCTCTACCTGTACCTGATGGATAGGGCGCGAATTACCGGACACTCTGTATATATATATATATATATATATATATATGTGTGTGTGTGTGTGTGTGTGTGTGTGTATACATATATACAGTGTATCCGGTAATTCGCGCCCTACTCCTCAGGTACAAGTAGAGCAGGTCAAACTGAGTAGAAAAGTCCTCTACCATATGTATAAATACACATTTAGTGGAATCTATAAATTTCTAGATAATTTTAATCTTTTGCACTAAAAAATCTAAAATATTGCAAAATAATTATTTTTTTTGCATATTAAATTTCAATTATTTCGAAAATTTAACATGCTGATGAAAATTAGCTTGCGGCATTGTTTTTAGAATAAAAAATCTATAAGAAACACTTTGTCTGGTTTAAAATAATAAACAAAAAATATTTTTTTGTAAATTATTAGTGTTAATATAAATGATATTTACCTAGACAGCACACAATATTTATGATAAAGATTCATAAATATTTATGAATATATATATTTTTTCAAATATTATATAAATATTTTTAAAATGTTTTATAAAAACCTTTCTTTAACATATTATTAAAACATAGATTCAATATTTCATATAATATTTATGGTATGTAAAAATGAATATTTATAATTAATAAAAGGAAATTACTACCAACTAACGAGCAGAAAAATAGGTGTTAATAAAAAGAACACTTCTTTATTATTAATATCATTTGTAAACGTTTCGACTTCACTAAGGTCTTTATCAATACAAAATCTAAACAAATTAATAAAAAACCTAACATTAAAACAATATAAAAAATGTGATCTAAAAACTAAAATATGGTGTGATATTATGATTAAGTTAAAAATTTAACTTTGACTTTTAATATTATAACAACAATTATATAGAAAGTTGGTGATTCCTATGATACCGATTAACTATTTTTAACATATGAATACAGAATACAGATTACTACGAAAATCGTTGAATTCTAAATTTTGACTGTACGGATGTTTCAAGATAATGACTCATAAAGAAACTTTAACCATCTTTTCCTTCGCTTATCAACGAGGAATTATGCAAAAAGTTTTTATGAACGACTTGTACATAATTGCGTTAGAACATTTTATTGTATCGGCGGTAACTGTGTTTCGAATTGACATAGCTTTCTCCATTGAAATATTTACGATATCACACCATATGTTTTTAAATCACATTTTTTATATTATGTTTTAATGTCAAGTTTTTTATTAATTTGTTTAGATTTTGTATTGATAAAGACCTTAGTGAGGTCGAAACGTTTACGAATTATATTAATAATAAAGAAGAGTTCTTTTTATTAACACCTATTTTTCTGCTCGTTAGTTGGCCTAGTAATTTCCTTTTATTAATTTTGAATTTATGCGAGCCTTTATTTTCTAAATATTTAGATATTTATAGTAATTATTTTATAAATATTTTTTAACTAAATTGTTAGTTCTTTCATTTACCGCTATATGTGATATATCTTTCTTGTATTTGATTTTTGTCGTAAGAATTGTATAAGGCTGGCAAAAACGGAAATTAATAAAATTAAAAATGTCATAAAATTATTTCTTAAAATTAAAAATGTCATAAAATTATTTTTGAGCTACATTCTGCAACAGAATGTCGTTTAACAAATAAATTCATGTATATATCGATGTGTGCGTAAAATTTGTTAAATTACTCTGTTGCCTAAGTATATTCAGTGTATATTATAATTTTATATTCTATTTTAAAATATATGTTTAAAATATAAGTTATACTTATAAACATTTTTTACACATTTTTAACTTTTTATAAATGGCTAATAAATGAGTTAAAAAACCACAAAAACATCTAATCGACCAAATTTTAGATTAGACTATATCAATCGATCGTTTTGATTAAAAAATCGTTGATTATGTTTTTTTAACTCATTTCTTACTGAGTATTTATTATAAATAAAATATAAATTAAAAAAAATCTGTATCAATGATTTAATAAATATATTTATAATATTTACCATAATAATTATCGTAAATATTTTCTGATATTTATGATAAATATTTATGATCTATTGAAGACTCCACTATCTAAGACTCCAAAAACATTTATAAAATATTTATGATAAATATTTATAAAATATTAAAATAATTATTATAAATATTCTATAAATATTTTATAAATATTCTGTGCTGTCTGGGTAAAATTAAATAAAAATAATATTAATAGACATTACATAATAATATTAATAATTCTAGAGTCATATTAATATAAATAATATTATATATAATAATATTAATAAATTAATATTTTATATTTATAGGCATATAGCGCTTCTTTAGTCTTAGAGGAATATTTACATAAAGCTACAATGGACGACAATGTAATCGAAAGATTTGCATTGCAAGCGGCGGACGAATTATCTTTATACGTTAGTAAGTATATATTGTGCTAATATTTTGTAAAATTAAATACTTTTGCACAAGATATAAAGCATATAATTTTTGTCCCAGAGTCTTCAATGAACAAAGATTTATCCTGTCAAGATGAAGAAACAAAAATCTTCAATAGTGTTATTCAAATGGCTGTTGATTTAACAATTATTCTCGATACATCATGGCCTTTCGAGTTGATACAACCAATCATTGCGTAAGTATATAATTTATATACAGGATTGGATAATACTAGTTAATTAGTTCAAAGAGTTAATAACTTTTAACTTACAATAGCTTAATTTTTAATTTTAACTAGTTATTTTTGATCTTAAACTTATTAACTTTTTTCAAAAATTAAATTTTTTTATCTGTGAATACTATTATTGTTTTTTTTATAAGTTACAAACGTATTATTTTTAAATTAAAGTATTATTAATTTTTATGTTTATTTGTCACAAATCGTAATTATAAAAAAATATATTTTTATATAAAAATAAAAAATTCTTTGTTATTATAAATTTTAAAAGAATTGACAATTTTAATTTAATATAAATAATGTTTTTTCAAAATTAACTTTTGATTTAATTTCAGTTATCTTAATCTTAACTTAACTTTAACTAAATTAATATTTTGTTTATGCAACTTTTAACTTAACTAAATTAATTTTATAAGCAACTAACTTAACTTAATTAAAAAAAATCATTAACTTACCTAATCCTGTTTATATGCAAATATGTAAAATAGAGAAAAAGATAGAAATAGAATATTATATAATGTACAAATATATACATTTTATGTATATCTTCTTTTTCACAGAAATATATTGGATAATGTGATAATAAGTCGATATAATAGTCGATTTACAATTATTAATGGTTATGACAGTAGTATCATGATCAATACTACCGACACTATTTTAAATTTCAATTATTATAATATAACAAATTATAAAAATAGTATGTATATTTGCAATTAAATTTATGTTAAATGTACACTATATTGTGTATGCATTGGAAATTTTTTTTTTCAGTCACTAGCGGTTTTGATTTCCCTAAATTACTTGAGAAATTAATGTCTTTACAAAAAGCGAAATTAAACAAAGAACGTTACAATTTTGGAAATGCAAAATCTGATGTAATTTTGATTATTCCATATACATCATCTATTGTCAATAATGCCGATAAGGAATATTGTATAGAACAGATAAGGAAGATGATGGAGCAAGTACCAGGTAAATTCCTATATTTATATAAGAAAACTACAAAAGCTAAAATTTATTTTGTATTACACGTGCAGGCAAAGTGGCACTTTCGGCGCATGTTTTCTGTGCGGAAAGCGGCCGATTTCCCCCGCCGCCATCTAGCGGCGACGCGGTGAGTGAATAAGCCGCGTTCAAAGCCATTATCTACGGCTCAGCCGCGTTAAAAGTCATTGTATACGGCTGAAGCCGTAGGAAATGTATTGAACACGGCTATTCCCCCACCGTGCTGCGGCAAGATGGCGGCGTGCGATCGGCCGCCTCGCGCACAGAAAACGCGCAGAAAAAGCCACTTTGCCTGCACTTGTAATACAAAATAGTATGTGTATCACGTGCGGATTGACAATTGTTCACTCGTGTGGGGTGCTCGCACTCGCCTTTGGCTCGTGCGTCCATCCTCCGCACTCGTGACCAATTGTCAACTGATTAAATTTGTAATAATTTGAAAAATTAATAAAATATATTGAAGATCGATAATAGTATATTGTGTATCAAGTGCGGAAAGTTGACAATTGTTCACTCGTGTGGGGTGCTCGCACTCGCCTTTGGCTCGTGCGTCCATCCTCCGCACTCGTGACCAATTGTCAACTTTCCGCACTTGATACACAATATACTATTATCGATCTTCAATATATTTTATTAATTTTTCAAATTATTACAAATTTAATCAGTTACATAATTATAATTTGCGATTGATATTATTTTTGCAGATACTACATTACTTATATTAACTCATGGATCGAAGGACAGATGGTCAGAGCTTGTAAATGAGCCAGCAACTGATTTATTTTCTATTACTCCTACGGATAATATGCAAGAAATTCCAACAGCAATTGTCGATTTAATTTCGAGAATAAAAAAAGGTAGATATATACGAACTAATTTGGATAAATATTCATATTAGGAAACTAAAACTCTCAATAACTTGCTTGACTTTAATAACATATGTCAAGGTCATGAGTCTGAATTAAAAGTTTCAGTCGTCGCTTATTAAAAAATTATTAACAGTTATTAAATTGTACGAGAAAAACAAATATTAAATACAATAATCTGGACTTCTCTGAGTATGAATTTTATACTAATTGTATTTTTCATATTAATTTAATTATTAATATATTAATTATATATTGTACATTTATATAATTAACTTATTATATATATATATATGTATGTATATATAATTTTATTATTAATTAATTATGTACATTATATAATTAATATTAATTATATATATATATATATATATATATATATATAACTTTTTAATAAATAATAAGCGATGGTTAAAATTTTTTGTATTACACGTGCAGGCAATGTGGCACTTTCGGTGCATGTTTTCTGTGCCGAAAGCGGCCGATTCCCCCCGCCGCCATCTAGCGGCGACGCGGTGAGTGAATAAGCCGGTTTCAAAGCCATTATCTACGGCTGAGCCGCGTTAAAAGTCATTGTATACGGCTCAAGCCGTAGGAAATGTATTGAAACCGACTATTCCCCCACCGTGCCGCGGCAAGATGGCGGCGTGCGATCGGCCGCCTCGCGCACAGAAAACGCGCCAAAACAGCCACTTTGCCTGCACTTGCAATACAAAATAGTATGTGTATAAAGTGCGGATTGACAATTGTTCACTCGTGTGGGGTGGTCGTACTCGCCTTCGGCTCGTGCGTCCATCTCCCGCACTCGTGACCAATTGTCAACTTTCCGCACTTGATACACAATATACTATTGGATGTTACTTAAACTAATGATTTTGACGTATATTGTTAAGTTCAAGATTATTGGAAAGGGGGTTTTTAATATGCACATTTACTTTAATATGTCGTACGGTTTTAATATTTCTTTCAAACTTTTTACATAATATAATTTTGCTACACAATTTTTGATTTTATTTGTAGTTCCGCAGCGCTTAATCAATTCGCAATGTGGAGCTGATTATACTGTTGCTGGATCTTCATCCATTTCATTCAATGATTATATTGAACCAGATACGACTGTTTTTTATAAAATGCATCCTAACTATTTCTTTTCTACCGATAGCGATCATTTTTCTACGATAAAGGTAAAAGGTTTTTCAAGTTACCTTTTATTCACATAATATAGAGAAAATATTATACATAATATGCATATACAAAGTATTCAATTTTTAATTAATTATTTTCAAAAATTTTTTATTTTTTATTGTGTATACGACAAAATGTTTCAAACAAAAGTAGTTTGATTGGAAGAAGGACAGAATAAGATGGCGCTACTGATTTTTTTTTCTAAAGAGCGCTTTTTAAGGTCATTTAAAGGTCATTTACGTTTTTAAATATAATTATAATAATTTTTTAAATATATTAATCAATTTCTCGCAATTTTCGGCATAACAAATTATAAGGGCAATGAAAACTATGAAACTATGTTAGTTGTAATTTACAGACATTTCCTTGAAAACAACTATATGTGTTATCTTTACATCAATTGATTTCTCTCATTATTTTGTGTATAAAAGTATTGAGATAAGGTTATTAAATAAAAATAAATATTTTACATTAAATACAAATAAGAAAGACCTAAGAGCCATACGCGGATGTTTTTGCGTACATTTCCAACGAAAATTAATTTTGCATTGGAAATAAACGAAAATGTGCACAAGTCACATATTATTCTTGGTTTACTCTACCAAGACTTTAAATATGAAATATCTCATACTTGAGATTTAATTTCATAAACCTCTATATCCCCCTAATAAAATAAAGAAATAAACGCGAGAGAAAAATATAGATCCGAAAGTCACTGAATCGGGAATCTTATTTGTATTTAATATTTAATATTACAGAGCCGTGATATATATTTTTTTGTGTGAATATTTTACGACATATTCTTATTAGTTTATACAAAAGTAGTTCTATTAAAAAAAAAAAAAAAAACAAATGATCTTCAAATAAAAGCGTCCTTCAAAAAAAGTCGGTAGCTCCATTTTTTGTTTTCCTGCAAACGAAACAACAAAAATAAAAAAATGTTTAGGAAAGTCGATTAAAATTGGACACCCTGTATATACATATATATTTTTATATACATTATCTCTAATTTAATTGTACATAAATATTTTTTATATATTTTATATATACATATATGTATGTATATATATATATGTATATATATATATATATATATATATATATATGTATACATATATATTATATATACATGTATATTATATATACATGTATTATAAATAAATATACTTTCAGATTGAAGTATCTGGCTCGGGTAATCTTAAAGTATGCACATCGCGACGCTTCATGAATTTTAATTCTACAGAAGATACAAGTATATCGTGTGAATCGATAAGTAATAATGTGCGCACTATTACATTTGCTTGCGGTGAAGCTAATTTAATCCATCTTTGTAGCCCGTTATATCTATCAATCACTGCCAATTCTTCACTCACAAATTATCAGTGCACAGGTAAAACAGGGAAAACTATGCTAATTTAAATTTGAAGAATTAATTGTAACAATTATTTTAAAAGTTGTAACTTTCTTAAAGATATATGTATAGTTTTATTATATTATTACGTCAATATTATTCAATCGGGTATATTTATTTTTTTATGTGCTTTCTAATTATAATGTTCGTTTTTTTATAGAAAAAGAATGCAGATTCCCTCACATGATAAAATATACCGTTTCTTATGAAAATCTGGTATGTGTCAGTAGTGCACATATAAATACGCTGAACATTTCTGTTCTAATCATAAGTATGATTTATATGTATTTTACTACATAATATCAAAGTATTACATAAATTAACTTCTATAATAAGCATAATTAAAGTTAACATATAAGTATACGTTCAACACATTAGTCAAACGCTAAATTAATATAGTAAATCATATCATATATATATTTCAGAATAAGAATATTACACTTTTGCAATTAGTGTATAAAACATTTTGTAATCATTATATTATTTGTGCGTATGTGTGTATGTGTATTGATGAAAGTAAATATGTTAAAACAAGAAATTACACTTAAACCTTGTTCACATAAATAAATCAGGATATATAATATAAAGTGTTATTAAAAATTTTAAATAATTAAGATTTACAAAGTAACAAAACCTCGTTGATCCATGGTTTTTATATTTAAAATTGTTTTGATCCCTTTTTTTATCATACTTTCGATATTTAATCAATAATGATTAATCGATTCACGACCATTACAAAATGGTTTGTATGTATATAAATATATACATTTCTATTTAAAAGAAAGACTCAATTGAATACATTGTTTATTAACTATGATAATACTGTTAATCTACAGAAAGACACTGAGAATTTGACAAATATTTACGACAAAATAATAAAGATTGTTTAGTGGTGTGTTTCAAACTTAGTCGTTGACGAAACATCATAGCGATGGGACGTGTTCCTCTTTTAACTATTAATTTTAAATAAGATCGGTTTTATGTTGCGTTAATCTCATTTTAATTGATGGGTATGTTTGTGGTCATAACTTAACATTTGAATATGTTCTTGTATGTTTCAACATTGTTAATAACTATTGTGTAATATTGTGTTATAGAATTTTCACTTGATAAGGACCACAACCAAATGGTCGAAACGTCGTGAAAGTATTGAATAAAATTGCTAGTTATGTCGAAATGTTTTGCCAAGTTTATTTTCACCACTAGCGTCCAATATTAATTTTGATTGATCTTATTTTTGCTCTTGGACTGAAATATGGAGCACGTACGGAAGGATTGTTTTTTCCAACACATCTCTGAACAATATAACAACGAGATTGCTTATTTATTTAAGTCATGGATTAACTACAAGAAGAAGTTTTATACTTGTAACTATCAACTGAAAATTTTTACTTCGATGTCGAAGATATGACCTTGTGCCGTCACACATCAAGAACCTAAAGACTGAAATTATATAATAAATCTTTTTATAGATATTATAGAATAGTTTTTATAGTGACTATGCGAAACGGAAGGTTAAAATTATAGTTAAGAATAATCAAGTTAGATTGTTAAATTTGGAGATTAAAGATTTGAACACGAACCTAAATTTCATTTGGTATAAGATCGCTAATATAGAGAAAAAATTGTTTGATTTCTTGCCTAATGAGGTCCCAGATAGCCAGTTGCCCACAGGTTGCTGTCAAATTGCTCGAATTTATTTGCTTAAGTTGTTTTCCATATTGAGGAAAGCGGCTTCCGATTTTGCCTATTGAATTGCTGTCTTTTTATTGGCACCAACAGTTGAAAGCAATTTGATGGCAACAGTTGCTTTTTAAAATGAATTATACGAAAATTGGTGGAAACTAATGGACAACATGAAATACATAAAAACATAAAAACAATTTCCGTCTTCAAAACATTTACTAGTACTTTGATGACATTTTAAAGGAAACCGTTGCCGTTAATAAAAGACTAAGGATTTTAATAGGTTATTCGCTTTCACAAAAATTTAATAAATTATATAAGGCTTTTAAATACTCGTAACAATGTAATTGTAATGTCAAAGAAGAGAAGTGACATTACAATTACATTGTTACTACTACAAATATTTAAAAGCCATATATAATTTATTAAATTTCTGTGTATATATATTTTACATATATTTTATTATAAATTTAAAACAAAAAAAGTGTATACGCAATATGTTTATAATTATATATATATATATTTATTTAATAAATGTTTGTTGCTAACACTTCGTATGTAAAAAAAACTAAAAAGAAACTTGTATTAAAAAATATAAATTCTAAATCTGTATTATAAATATGTATTAGCATCATAAAATATTTGCTTTGGTTTTTATATTGTACTAACACTAATTGTAAGTTTGTAAGCAGCCTCTTTTAGGTACATATAGGTATTCATATATTATATTGCTATTAATAATAATATTGCTATTAATATTTATATATTATATTGCTATTAAAAATATCAATTATTAATGTCTAATAAAAAAAATTTTTAAAATAAAGAATCAAACTTATTAATAGCAATCTAATATATATCAAGAGACACGGTAGTGTCTCGCGACCAGTTAAGGGCGTAGCGGAGACACCGTGTATCTTAACGCGAGTCGGACATTTGAGTCTTTATAATATTTCGAATCCTCAATAATGGCTGAAGCAATCGAGTTTATACTAGACTTAATCGATAGATTGAGTTCGAATTATATAATAAAAGTGTCTTTATTTCTGCTCTACGTGATTTGTAAGCAGAGATATATAAATGCAAAGTCGAAATATGAAAAATTTCTATTAAGAAACGTCCCCGTCATCATTATCATCATCATTATCATCATCATTATCATCATCGACCACGCATACATAGTAGTATCGTGCTACACGTATTCACACGTATACAACACATGCGCACACATATATCACACGTACACAACACATGCAAGATGCATGTAGTGGTAATTTTGTCCATCTCGCACGTTTTACAACAGATGGCGATAGTGGCGCTCCGCCATATCGGCAGCGTGCGGGGTTATGTTGGCTAACTCTCTCTCTCTCTCTCTCTCTCTCTCTCTCTCTCTCTCTCTATCCCTCTCTCCCTCTCCCTCTCTCTCTCTCTCTCTCTCTCTCTCTTTCTCACACACACACGCACACACACACAACTCTCTCATTCTCACTCACTCACTCACTGTTCGTCTTGTGTACTTATTTAGTACATTCATGATCGGCAGCGTGCGGGTTATGTTGGCTAACTCTCTCTCTCTCCTCTCTCTCTTTCTTCTCTCTCTCTTCTCTCTCTCTCTCTTTCTCACACACACACATATCTAATTAATAATGAATTTCTAATTATATTAAACATATCAAAATAAAGACATACATGTATTTATCAAATGAATAAAATTATTGAATACAGACTTAAAAAATTTATTAAACATAAACTTAAAAAAATTAATTAATTAAACATATTCCAAATTTAGAAAAAATAAACTTTATTTATATATGCAACAGCTTTTAAACTAAATTTTTAAATTCTATTTTATATTAGACAATTATCTCAATCAACATCTACGTCCACATTAGCTGCACTGCAGACTACCTCTACAGCCACATTATCTGCTCCGCGGATATAGCGTTATGCCAATACGATACATTACATGTACTTACTTACTTGCCTTTACTGTACCAACTCTTGTTCTTTCCACGTAATCATGTTTTTACAGTTATCGTTTGCTGTATATCTTCCAGCAAACTTTATTTCGTGTGAAGTGTATTTAATTAATTAAATCTCTGCGAAAGATTGAGAAGATGAAGGGATAATTCAAACTATGAAGACATGGTTACATGGAAAAGACAAGAGTTGATACAATAATAAAGACATACATGTATTTGTATCCTGCTGGCATAAGGTTATAGAAGTTGATTGAGATTGAAAAATAATAATGAAAATAATAAAAAAAATAAAGACACATGTATTTGTATCGTGCTGGCATAAAGTTATAAAAGTTGATTGAGATTGAAAAATAATAATAAAAATAATTAAAAAAAGGAAATATTCAATCATCATTTAAAAGCATATTTGAAATCTGTAGAATAAACAGTTTTTGCAAAAAATGTGGAGCATTAGAGCTCTAGTAAGTCTAAAAATAAATGTAAACATCAATTAATAATAACTGATGTTATATATATATTATATATATAAACCAATTTGTTGCAATATTCACTATAAAAGGTTGTAAGGGTAAGATGGCTAAAAGTGAATAATTTAAAAGATAGTTAACATAATTTTACATAAACTGAAATATTTCATAGAATAAAATATTTGTAATATTTCGAAGTTTATGTAAGATTATGTAAAAATTATACCTTTACAACTTTTTATAGTAAATATTGCGAGGAATCGATTTATATGAGAAAAATTAAGGTAATTCTATTTTGAAAATATAAGTGACCTTTAAATAACCTTGAAAATCGCCGTTTAGGAAAAAGTCTGTGTCAACTTTTTCTTTTTCGAAATCCTGCAACTTTTATCTAAATTTAATAGAAAATGTATAAAAAATGCTCGACATTAGTACACACACACACACACACACACATATGGGTAAATTTATATAAATAGGGTGCTTTAGGAGGAATGATCAGGATTCTAGGATATGATTGTACACATCATTTTAAGCAAAGAAGTTTAGATAAACATGTTTAATAATTGTTCTATTCCGGTCATAAAAATATACAAAAATGAATGATATAATCTCTAAAAACTCACCTTTAAAAAAAGGTAAAAAAAGGCGACCAGTTAAGGGCACGCCATTAACAAAAATTATCCATTGCAAACCCATGTAGAATCCTATCCTATTGCAAACCCATGTAGAATCCTATAAAAAATTAATCATTGCAAACCCATGTAGAATCCTAGGCAAAATTAACCATTGCAAACTCATGTAGAATTGTATTAAAAATGATCCATTGCAAACTTATGTAGAATCCTACATTGCAAACCCATGTACAATAGAATTGTATGAAAAATTATCGATTATAAATTCATGTACAATCGTAACAAAAGTAATGAAATAAAAAAAAATTGCGCCAAGTGAAAGTAGAAACTTGTACCAGTGGAAAATTAAAGTTGCAGACATATATAGAGTCGTATAATGAATCAGTAAAAATTTAAATTTGCAAATGTAGAATCGTACCATAAAAAAACTTATCTTTAAAAAAAAAGATAAACAAGATGCCAAGTCCATGCGCCATGTAAAAAAAAATAAAAAAATTTTAGTTAAAAAAACTGGGAGCGCTGCTAAATAATATTCTAACAATATTAAATTAAATTGTTACTTTTAAACTCATTACAGTTAAAATATGTTTTGTGTTTAAATTAATTAATGTTACTTTAAGGTGCATTGTAATTTTGAAACTTAGCAGCGCGCCCAGTTTTTTTAACTAAAATTTTTTTATTTCTTTTTACATGGCGCATGGACTTGGCATCTTGTTTATCTTTTTTTTTAAAAGATAAGTTTTTTTATGGTACGATTCTACATTTGCA